GGGCTCAAAAACAAGTCTGTTCACCTTCTTCGAATGCTTTTTCTCAGATTGTGAATCCCAAAGGAGGAGATACAGGATGAGGGAACAGCTCATCTTATTACAGCAGCATCAGCTGCCTGACATGAGTGACGTTGATGTATAGATGAGCGAGCCAAAAAGCACTTATTCATTATGTCTCTTTTAAGCTATTAAGCAAGCTTTTAACAGATATTTGTGCTCCTGAGTTCAGTCGGTCCGTTGTATGATTGTGATTCCTCCTCTTTTCTTTCCAGGTTGGGCGTCATCTTTGCTCGGAGGGGACGGCCGATCAGGCAGCTCCCCAGCCCTCCCCAGAAAGCAACAGTCAAGAGACAAATCCCCCAGCAGCCTTTTAGAGGATGCACAGGATGTGGGCACATTTACACGAGACCGCAAGACTGGGTTCTTTAGCTCATTTATCAAAAAGAAATCTTCCTCTTCTTCCTCGTCACAGTCTTCTCAGCACCAACAGAACCTTCCGATGCCACCCAAGAGAAGCAGTTCCTTCCGGGAGATGGAGACGCAACCTCACAAAAAGTACGAGCCTACACCCGATTTCAGCGCTCCTCCTCCCCTGCCCCAGTCAGACAGTTTAGGGGGCTTCTCTGCGTCTCCTTCCCACTCACATGGGGAACCTATCCAGGCACAGTCTCGCTGCTGCGGGGCAGCTTTTGGACAGAAACCCTCTGGGGGAGGCTTTGGTTCACAGGTGACAAGTGGTAGCAGTTGGAGTGGGCTGGCTGGCTTTTTTACCCCTAGACTCATTAAAAAGACCCTGGGGCTACGGACAGGAAAGACATGCTCCGCAGACGAGGGTGGAAATATAGTTGGTGGGCCTAAACCTTTCCCTAGGTCCAATTCTACCTCCTCAATGTCAGCTGGGCTGCCTGATTTGGAGCGCATGGCTCTGACGTTACCCAGGAACCGCAGTGCTAAACCGCCTCTGGAGAGGACTGCCTCGACAACCTCTCAGCCAGAGAACGGGGCTGCACGAGCGTCAGAAACTCTGCTGAGGAGGATGGATGAGGGGACTGCACAGATCAGGGAAAGGCCCAAAGCCAAGCTACTACCCCGGGGCACTGCTGTAGGGGTGAGGGCACCGGGGGTTGGGGGGGAAGTTGGGGATTCGGACAGCCTGTCCCGAGTCAGGGAGGGTAGAGAGGAGAGCGGAGGACTGGACAGGCAGCAGAGTTGGACATCTCCCTCCAAGTCCTCTGGCTTGAGCATGTCATCAGCTGCAGCAGGTGGGCCGACTCACAACCACAAAGTCCCAGTGCTGATCTCTCCCACACTGAAGCACAGCCCAGGTGACGTGCACCTGGTCGGGCTAGACTCTCAGGGGAACCGCTTTAAACTGCTGTCTGAGCACCAAGCAGACCGAGACAAGCCACGCCTCGTCAAACCCAAGTGTGCGCCGCCGCCTCCCCCTACTCTGCGCAGCCTGCAACACTCCTACAGCGGCGACGGAGAAGAGCAAGTCGGAGGAATGCCCGTGGAAGTAAATGGGGACACATTAAAAGGTCAAAGGTCAGGGCGAATGTCAGGAGGAATGATGACAGGCAGACCATCAGTGCCACCACCGCAAGTGCCTCCAGCTTCTTCCTTTTCTTCTTCTTGCTCTGCCACCACAAACACAACGCCCACTAAAATGGCCAATGGGGCGACCACCACTGCCCCCTCGCACACAGCGCCGTCTGCTGGTTCCAAAGTGGCACTGCGGCGAACTAGGCAGCAAGTGGAGAGGGCGCCCTTGGAGCGGGTTAGCCGCGAGGCCTTGCTGGACTGCGCGGAATGCCTGAGCAGCGCGCTCCACGCCAGCTCCGAAAGCCCCTCCAGCAGCCAGGTTCTGGACGCTGGCCATCAGCTGCTAGACTACTGCTCAGGTTACGTGGACTGCATCCCTCAGATGAGGAACAAATTTGCCTTTCGAGAGGCAGTGGGGAAGCTGGAGCTCAGCCTGCAGGAACTGAGAGCCTCGTCGTCAGGAGGCGGGGGGTTGGGTGGCGTGGGGTCCAACACTGTACTGGATAACCTACACAGCTGTATTAAAGAGATTAGTGACGTAGTGCAGAGGTAGCCACCGTGACAACACAAATCTTCACCTCTAACTACCCAACAGATCGCTTTGATTCCTTTTTTATGTTTCAGGTTCTGTTGACAGCTTTCTGGGGACAGATCGAGACGCACCTCTGCAGTACCTCACCATCACTACAAGAAATAACTTTTTTTTTTAATTGTTTACAAATCAGTTTGATAAAATGCCAGTGTGGACACTAATTTTCCTCTAACCTGTACATATTGAGAAATCTACCAAACTAAATTCAAGTCGCACCATGAAACGTGTCACCACAACTTTTTACGTGGCCTTGATGTGAAGGCGTCTTTGCTGCCTGAATGTCGAGTGTATCAGCTGTGTGTAGCCAGCCAATGGAGTAGGTAAAGCTCACTCTGCTTCCCCTCAATTTAAACTCGAGAATTGTTTTACAAATATGTAAGTGTACCGTTTTCCTCTGTGTCTGGAGAAACAAGTGATCGTGAGCCATTTTTGGAAACTACATTCATGTGAACTCCTTCGAGGTACGAGGGGTGGTGGGGGGGTGTTCTCATAGGCCAGTTGGACAAGTGTAAAAAGGTTATAAATAACACCCACACCTGCTTTTCCCCTCGTGTGGGGTTAAAGTCTGGTTGCGTTTCTGTTTTGTTTTGTTTTTTCAATAGTAACCGTGAAATTTCCACACGTCCACCTGATTCTAATAAAAGTTTTAGCGATTGCCTACAAAAGTAAACGTGTGCATTTCACAGATGTTCCCCACAGCACTGACACATAACGAACGAACACAGAATTTGTCTTTGCTTCAGTGACTGATGTTCACACCTTAACGTAGTGCCACAAAAGTGGGGAATCTCCCCAGCCCCTTAAACATTTCATTATTCGTGTCCAGTTATCCTCGCACGCTGCTTCGTTGTTTTGTACGATGGAGCTGAAACACGTGGAGTGAGGAAAGATAGAGCACAGGGTAGCACACGAGCAGGTGAACTGGGACAGTGTTTTTATAAGTGTCCTTGCGAGTGTGGACAGTGCTGGAGTCCCTGTAGCCTTGTCATGGCCTCAGTGCCTCATTCTTCAGTGTAAGAACGCTGCGAAACGCAGAGACCTACTTTACACTAATCACACAGTACTGATCTCTCAACTAACTGCAGTATGTCTTCAGCACATGAGCAATTTGTACATTATTTGGTTCACAGAAAAATGCTTTTTAGAATGTCTATGTATGAACTTGAATTTTAAATTATTGTTGTTTGGGGTTTTTTAAAGCACAGACCTATTTTAAAAGAAAAGCTATGTAAATATTTGACGTATTTCATATCCAGGAATCAAAAGATTTATCTGTGGTCACAGCATAAAAAACAATGTTTCTGACTGAAGAGATGTATTTCAAGGCCCATCCACCCAGATCTGATTATCTGCTTTATGAATGTATTCTTCTGTTCTCAACCTGGTTGAATGTTCAACTGCGTGTCTCTTTAATCTCTTAAGGTGCCATATTCTTTTTTCCATTTAACTTACTGGCCCATACTTTATTTCGATCACACTAAATAAGTCCAGAGATATCTGCTCTGTTTTTTGAGCACAAGCAGAATTGTGTACAGCACATACACAACTATTATTTTCCTTTTTGTTTGTTTACTTGCTTCGGTTCTCATATTTATGTACACTGGATACGGCCTCGATCTCATTGGTTCATTGACACATGCTCTGTACATGTAAAATTGTAAACACTGCTGCAAGTCCGTAACACTTTTAATGCCTTTAATGGCATTTTTTTTTTTTTTTGTGGTGCATTTCATCCTTTAATTTTTCTTCTTATTGTGCGTCAGTAAAATTGCCCTTTTTTGCCAAACAGGATGCTTTTAGACGAGCTGATTTTTGTGCATTTAAAATAACATGAAATGAAAAAATGCCACCTTTCTTCACATTCTTGGTGCCTTTTTGTGAAACAACTTGTCCACTGCGAGGACTCACAGAATGTTCAAGTCCCTCATTAAAACTCATGCGTATGTTTCAGTTTCAACGACATTGTTATAATCCTGTCACTGCACTGTCGGTTTCTGTCATTTGGAGGTTAACAGCCCGATGCCAACATGTGCTTTTTGGCCATATTAGATATTTGCCAGTTGGTGTCAACATCTGTAATAAATGCATTAAAATTTAGAAGAGATGGGAGAAACACCCTTCAACCACGTTATGAATGTTGATATTCTATATCTTGTCCACTAGAGGGAGCTCTGCAACTTTCATGTTGGCAACACAGCATAAATAAATACATGAACAGATTACCCCAATAAAAGTTAGGGAAATATTTTTAGTTCTGTGTGACTGAAAGAAAAATATTGGATCAACAATTGTATCAGTCGGACTCTATTTGGAAAATCTGTAACTAGTCGGGTTTATTTGTGGCTGTTAGCGCTGTTAGTGCTATTAGCGCTGTTAGCGCTGTTAGTCCGGTCACACAAATCTGCCTGATCTGATCACACTTCAGTCTAAAACCTTAAGAACTGACTAGCACCAGATTGGCCTTAGTTTCTCTTTACTTTGTGTGATACGCCTTTTTAGATGGTGAAAGGAAAATTCCTGAAATCATGCATTTCTTTTCCAAACAGTTTTATTTATTTTTATTTTTTAAGGATTTAATCGTTGATTGTCAGCGAACTGATTTCGTACCAACTCACAAGCCTGATCTCATGACCAATGCTGTTTAATATTTAAGCCTGACCACAACATTTTTGCTCATTCTCAGTCCTTTACATTGACTTTATTTATGTGTTTTGACTGCATTGATCCTGTAGATCTGTTTATTTTGTCTTCTCGTGTCTCCCTGTTGTGGAGTACAGCTCTGAAGAACGTGCGTACGTATCAATATACCAAAGGCCGCGTCTTCAGTTGTATGAGTGCAATGTAAAATCAACACACAGACACACCGTAATGAAATATGTGAAACTGAACAGGGATGAAAAATGGCAGATGTTAACATTAACTTTTTTATTGTACAAAATATATATTTTGTGTTTTGTTTTGTTTTTTTATTTAAAGCTCACATTATATTACTGTGAAGTTTTGCTTATCAGTGTTAAGCCTATTGTAAATAATAAAGATATTGATGAATATTGTTTGGTTTGTGGTTTATTTGCAGTAAATTTCAAGTGGAGCAGACGATGTTAGCCAAGTGTTGCTAATAATATTTGGGGTTTTCTCTTTTTTTTAATCTTAGGGTCTATACCTTACAATACAAAGCGCCTCAAGAGAACTCTTGTTGTGATTTGGCACTACATAAAGCTGACTTGATTTGAATTAAATAATTCTGTGTTAAATATGCTGCTCAAAAGATTAAAGGAACACTTAAAATGCCACATTGGATACAGATCAATAAAATATTCAAGTTGAAAATCTTTACTGTCAAGCAGCAGGTCCTGTCTCTATCAACTCTCTCGTACACTGTCCTTTGGTTTGGATGGTTGACGCCAGGTATATAAACTCATCAAGCTTCACTACCTCTACTCTTTTCATGTTTATCGTTCAACCTTTCTCCCTCTCATTCACACACATCTTCTATCTCACTCACACTGACTTTATTCTCTCTTCTCTCCAGAGCTTGCCTCCACCTCTCTAGGCTCTCTGCCACCTACTCCCTACCCTTACTAACGTCTGCACACATCATAGTCCACAGAGACT